AGTCATAATGTGTTGCTAGAGACCGCTTATGACTTGTGGGCCAAAAGAGTTTTGGGTACACTGCTAATGTTTAGTGAACCTACAGGGTCGCACACAATAGCGAACGGACTTAATATTGTCTATGCGCCTTGATCTACTTAAGAAGTAGATTTTAATTTATTCTCCTATTTAAATTATCTATGCGTTCATGCGCGTTATGAGATAATGATTAAACGTACGATTGAAGGTGGACGGTTTGGCGGGCCCAAATAGCCCGGCCCACTTCTTTTAATTCCGCTAGATAATGAGGCTGTATAAATAGATAGAGAATCGTTCTCTGTCTAGGGTTTTTCGATAGAGTATCGAAAATCAAAAGGCGTTCAAGAAAAGGAACTTCAAGATCTTTCGCTAGCACGTGGATCGTTGGAGAATTCCGTTCGTGTGTGTGGATACCGGTAGAGGCGCAACACTTGGGGCGCTCATCCAGACACAATCAGTTGCTGATTTATCTTCGATCTGCAAAAGGTACGTATCGAACTTCCGTCTCGATTTCAATATACACATGGATCCTGTCTAGGATTCTATATTCCGCTGCATTGTTTTTCGTTGATGAACCCTTCAGAACCCTCACGGCCTAGGCAAGGGCCGCCCTCGTAGCCTGGGCGAGGGTCACCCTCGCCGAACCCTCGCCAGATTCGGCGAGGGTGACTTGTGACTTGGATGAGGGCCGCGAGCCACCCTTGTTGGATTTGGCGAGAGCGGCGGCGAGGGTCCAGCCCTCGCCCTTGTCACCCTCGCCGGCCCTGGCTTGTGGCCGGTCGCCGGCGACCCAGCCATGGGCCAAGGAAGGAGAAGAAGAAAAAACGAAAAGAAAAAAAAGGAAAAAAACCAGAAAGAAATATTAAAAAATTCAAAATATTATTAATAAAAAGAAATTTTGTGCAGTTACCAAACTCATTTCTGTTCTTTTTCTATTCCAGGAATAGAAATTTTGGGCAGTTACCAAATGCTTTCAAATGCTTAGAAATTGTTTCCGAGAATGAAATAAAAAAAAATTATTTCTGAGCAGAAATTATTTCTGGGAACATAATAGTTACTAAACGCACCCGAAGTGTCTACATCAGCCATAAGATGCTGGTCGACATGGATGCATGGCACATCCATCCTCCATCAGTGAATTTTAACTTTAAGAGCTCGAGAGCATTAATTTTAACCCACTGTAAGCAGCAAAAATTGCAAATCCTAACAATGCATGTAGATACTGTATCTCTTTCCCTTATCAATCGAAGGTTGCATGAATCTAGATGTACGTTCGGTCCGATGTCAATAAGAAATTATTTTTTGAAATAGTATGCATATATATATTTAAGTTTGAAGCGACATTTGTCTCTCTTTAAGTGATTTTTATAAATTACCCCTACACTACATAGTAAAAAGGAAAAAAAAGAAAGAGATACAATCAACATTTCTAAATTTTCTTTCCACTTCTCAATCAACTTCGTCATCTAATCACCAATTTCTTTTTCGAGCTACATGATGAGGGTACGAGGAAACTTCTTACTTAGATGGAGTCCAAAGAAAGAGAAAGAAAAAGAGAGCCCTAGCCCTAGAACTTCTGCTATCGCGTGTCCTTTAGGGTGCGCATGGCAACCATTCTGTGCCCAGAATCTGATTCTGGGTAGAAATGATTCTTTTTTATTCCGTGCCCGAAAACAATTTCTAAGCATTTGAAGGCATTTGGTAACTGCCCAAAATTTCTATTCTTAGAATAGAAAAAGAACAGAAATGCGTTTGGTAACTACACAAAATTTCTTTTTATTAATAATATTTTGATTTTTTTAATATTTCTTTCTTTTTTTTCTTTTTTTTTTCCTTTTTTTTCTTTTTTTTCTTTCTTTCTTTCCCCTTCCTTTCTTGGCCATGGCTGGCCGCCGGCGCCGGCGACCGGCCACAAGCCAGGGCCGGCGAGGGCGTCGCGGCCCTCGCCGCTGCCTTCGCCGATTGCGACGGCAAGGCCAACCTTGTCGTCGCGGCCGCGAGCCGCCCTCGCCCAGGCGGCGAGGGGGACCCTCGCTGGCCCTGGCTTGTGGCCGGTCGCCGGCAGCCGGTGGCCGGTGGGTAGCGGGGCCGAAGAACAACAACAAACCAAAAAAAAGAAAAAAACCAAGAAGAATCAGTTCCGAAAAAATTGTTCCAGAATCAAGAAGCTACTTTTTTATGCTTCTTGATTATGTTCTAAAACTGATTCTGGGCACAAAAAATTTAACAAACGGATTTCTGTTCCTAAACTGATTCTGGGAACAAAAGAACAGAATTAGTTACTATTTGACAAGTTGCTAAACGCGCCCTTAGTTGTTCCACTCCAGCGGATGCTGCCAAAACTTAACAGAACGGAGCCAACGCTTTCAAATCCGAGGGAGACCCAGCCGACGCCGCCCTCTTTCTTGTCCTAGCTTGGGTGTCTGCCTGCCTGCTTTTCATGGCCCCATGAGGGCCAAAGGCAAGTGGGACATCTCTTCACTCGTAGTTGGCTTTTGGCTTACTCCATGTTGATGAGGTCAAAGCTAAAAAGAGCGAGTCTCTTCGGCTTGGCCTTGGCCAAGTCAATTTGCAGAAACCCTAGCTCCATTTAGTCCACCGTGACCGACGCCCATTTGAAATTTTCTTCCAAAATTTTCTCTTTTCTCTCCTAGTCTCTGCGATCTGGTTGCCCATTGATGAGCAAAGATCGTTGATTGAAATGGTCAAGCTTGGTTTTGTTTGTTTTTCTTTCAACCTAGTTCTCAAATTTCGATTGACGACAACTTGTATTTTGCGCTGCTTTCATCTTCTACCCATCAATTTTTACTATGAAACATGAGAAAAAAACTGAGTTTTCTATAAGGGTGCGTGTCAAAACCATAGGAATGCAGCGCTAATGTATCTCAATTGTAGAGTGCATAAATCGAGAAAAGCAATTAATCGAGAGAATCTAAATACCATTTTCCTCTTCTTCTTCTTCTTTTTTTTTTTTTTGGCATTGCCTTCTTTTGTTTTCTTTTCCATGTACTAGAGCAAGAGCACACGCGCGTCCCGCGAAAAGAAGTAGAGGGGAAAAAATGTTAAAATGTAGAAGAATGGTATGTAAAGATTTCGATCGATTCCTACGATACAATTTAAATTGTTGTAAAAGCAAAGATAGGATATTTATGGAGTACCCGACAATTACTTTGAATCTAAATTAAAAGTGATAGGAATGGATCTAATAAAGCAAGGAAAGAAAACAGCCCATTAAGCACAGGGCTTCTGAACCTTCTATGGCCCAGCAAAACATCGGGCGGGCACTACCTCCTCTTCTGCTGAGCTTCTGCAAAACTATCCAATGGCCATTAGATCCCCACGACAGACATGTTGCAAAGTTTTATTATGATGCATCCTCCAATGACTTACTTGAAGCCAATCTCACGAACACTTCACTCACCTCACAAATTGACATCACCTGAAGATCATTACTCTGTCAGGCATCATGCCACTGATCTTATCATGTAGGATGTCAAGTCGTGATTAACATTTTAAATAAAACAGAGGACGCAAGTAGAGTGGGGTTAGGTGAACAAATCATATCCAGCTGTGAGAATAGCTCATGATACTTCGATGGACCAATCTAATGTAGCTAGGGATAAGGTTTCAGTTTGATTTGTCCACGGGGAGAAAAATATGTACCAATGAAAAACTAGGAGGTACCAACAAAAATGGTCCCGGAATTTCGGTCCCATTCCTGAACTTTTGATTTGTCCAATGTGATCTCCGAACTATTGTTTAATTTTCAATGTAGTCATTTCGTTTGCTTAACGACACATAAGATGTTATTTGATGACATGAAATATTATACGTCGAGTTGAATTTTTAAAAATGATGAGTCAACATGTAAAACTTTTTTATCCATCCATTTTGAGAAAAGGAAAAGGAGTTAGGGCGTTAACACGTCATTTTTTATTTGATGACGTGGATTATTATATCCTGATTTGGGATGAATATCTTATTTGGATAATCCACCTCCAACTTTTTTGGTTGTCCACCGTTCGAAACTTAATAGATTAGAAGCTGCATCAGCAGATTCCGTTAACTTGAATGAACGAAAGGACGACATTTTACATATTCATGTAATTTATGAACTAGATTGTATATGTACAAGTAGTTTAGGGACCATATTGAATAATTTAAAAGTTCATGGACCACAGTGCACATTAGATCAAAGATCATGGACCATTTGTGTCATTTTTTCAAATTTTAATGAATTAAAACTGGGAGGTTAATTGGAGCGAACCAAGGTTACGTGCCAAATCATCAATAATTTTCCCTTAATTATAGTGTAGCATTATATACCAATTGGGCAATTATAGCATAGTCCAATTCAAGGTCCATGACTCCTTCCATTTATCCTTGATGTTAGACATATTCAATCGCTACATTAAACGGAGTCCAAGTCGTCCTTTTTTTTAAGTTCCCTTTGCCTTCCTTGTGTATAAAACAGTGTGGTTGAATATAATGATTCTCAATAACTTTGAGAAAATGAAATTTATTAGGTATAAGTGGTCATAGAATGAACTATGCCAAAAATTGGATATTGGTTCACTGAAGGTCAATTGTCCCAATATTTTAATAAGGTCTATAGATGTCTCCATCTAGCATATTATATAAAATCTACTTTTCAATAATAATGTATCTATGATACGAAAAAAAGAATGTCACTTTTTTTTTTAATTTCTCGAGAGTATTCTTTCAATTTAGGAATAGATTGGGAGAATCATTTTACCTTGTAATATCATTGACAATCATCAAGCCATCCAGACAATAAGAATTACTTATTATCCTTTTTTGTAGACTAGCTATTACATGAACAGTTCAAAAGTTCATAAAGTCTCTCTATGCACTCGATCAAAGCTCGGGAGTTAGACCCTGTACCTGCTATACTAGCATCCCTATCCTCAATTCCCTTACTACTGGGCCGCGTGTCCAGTGGGTGATCGATCAGGTAGTTTACGCGTAATTCATCGGATACGGCGGTTCGGATTATTTGGAGCACGACCCAGTCTAGGCAGGCCCAAGAAACTCATGAGCTTGCACTCTCTTGTTTCGACCACAAAGGTCAACTCTTCCACCCCCTCCATTTCCTTTGTATTTTCTTGCACGTTCTCTCTCTCTCTCTCTCTGCGCATTTGTATTTCTGTTGCAACTGCTGATCTCAACTTCCTCAACTCTCTCCCATTGTCCCCACGCCAAGATTCTGATGAAATAGCTTTGCTTCCCCCTTCCCGTGTATAAATAAATCTCCCCTGTTTGTTCCTGTTATAAATCTCTGTTTTAGAAAACAAATCCTTCAATCCCTTTCTTTTGCTCCATCCCACCTGTATTCTGATTCAATTTCCTCACGCCCTCCTTTTTCTTTCCAAGTGAGAGAACTTCCCCTTCAATGGAGGACTCCGGAACGATGAAAAAGCCTGTACCTGACGGCGTAGAGGACGGGGGCAGCGAAGAGAGTGGCTGGACTACTTATCTCCAAGACTTCTCTCGAAACAATGACGGAGAAGATAGCTTCTGCTCGAGCTTCGGGACCTACTCTTTGGTTTCGGACGCCGCGTCTCGTGCCATCCACAGGAATGCCGCCGTCGCCGAGCCGAAGGCTCCAAGGAGGCTGAGCATGATCAAGAGGATGAGGACCAGAGAGATCACAGATGAAGATCCACTAGAGGACACCGCCACGTCTCCTGTCAACAGTCCCAAGGTCTCTGGTTAAGCTTCTGCTTCATTATGAGTCGAAAAAAATTATATTTCTACAGAAATTCCTTTGCTCTGTGTCTGCCTTTTATTTGTTGTTTTACTCGAGTTTTGGCCAAATGGGCATTCGCAGATCAATCATCTAAAGCGGGTGGAGATGATGGGCACTCGGATGACAGATGATCCTCTTCATCTTTCTCTGGTTAGTTACAGTATTTTCTTTTGGTTTTTATGCCTTCTTTTTTAGGGATTCAAGAAGGGTTTGTCTAAACCTAATTTTCTGAACTGAGTTCCATGAAATTTGATATGAAGGGTAACGGTGGTGCATCGGAGAGCTGCATGGGATTGAAGGTGAGAGAAGGCAATGAAAATGAGGAGATGATGTACAGTTGCGATGGCCAGAACTATGAGTGCTCAAGCTTGAGGAAAAGAGGACTTTGCTTGGTTCCTTTGTCCATGTTCATGAACTATCAGCTTCATTGAATCGATTCCATCTCTCTCTCTCTCTCCCATCAACTGTGTAGAAACTTTTGTAAATAAGTTTACCGTTGATGGGAATGTGGCCCAATGTTTTTTCTTTTCATTGTAAACCCCATGTAAATCAAAATATTATTTCGATTTCCTGTGTTTGATCATGTCCATGTTTTTGTTACCTATAGTTGTTTATATTCATGTTGAGACATGGCGGAAATACATGGGCAAAAGAGTGCAACATGACTCAAAAATCTTCTTAATTTTTTTTTAACTGAAATGGGAGGATCAAAGTTAATTTTTTTCATTGACGCGGCGAATTTTAGTGTTTATTAGGATTAATTCAACAAATTGATATTTACCTACATCGTTTATCCATCCAACAAACATTTTACGTCTGTAACTTCTTTTCACATATTAGAGGACTTGATATAATAAAAATGTTTTACTCCTTTATACAAAATGATATAGAAACTCGTTTTGTTTCGTCTCGGCTAAGAAAGTTCGAATAGTAGTTAAGAAGTTTATTTCATGAGACATATATGCAATCGTGGCACATGTGCATCTTTGGTACCTTCATATATGATGCATTAAATTATCTGCACATTTCCAATAAGTTACCATATTTTAGAAAAATCAAATGCATTTTTATTTACTTATTGTTTTATTATTATTACCTCGATTTTTTCCCTCTTCTTGTTCCATATCGTAATATCTTGTCAGAAACATTGAAGTGATCACTAACATTTTCTTCCAAATTCTTCCACCAAAAAAAAAAAAAACACAGAAGTTATTTTGGCCCCACAAGGCAAAACCTTACTAACTCCCACATTCTTAAAAATAACACCGCATCCACCGAACCCTAGCTTAAGACACACTTACATTTAATTAGCATATGACGCGACATGTGGTCATTTGACATTATATCATGCGTTATATAACTATTCGAGAGACATTTATTCTATATGGAATATATATATGTTGATCAGATTATTAGTCCATGAGGTCGATGAGAGTCTAACTTATTCATTCAGCTTATAGCTATATAATATTAAAAATGGCGGGGTAAATACGTGGACCCCACCCACTAAATTAAATTTTTAAAAAAAGTATAGTGCATTAGCTCATCCCTAACGCTTGCAGGCCAGGTGAGACCCCTCCATGTGCACCAGCATTGAAGGCAGGTGACCACTGCAAGAGAGAAACCACAGAAGTTGTTGAGCTCGATTTCAGCTTAATATACTTCGCTTTTGATTCTTCTTCCAACTTGACCCTCTCTCTCTCTCTCTCTCTCTCTCTCTCTCTCTCTCTATGGAAGTTCACAGAAGTTCTCCTGCTAAAGTTATTCTCTTTGAAAGAGTAGGTGCTGTCATTTCCTGTATAATATAAAGAAGAAAAGTCCACCTTAGCTAGATGAAAGTCAGGGGAGGGGTTCTTTAAGAGCTTCTGAAAGAACTGTGCAGTCTGTGATGAAATAGATGTTCTCTCTCTAGGGTTTTGTCATTAATTTATTTACTTGGACAGTTAGTGGTAAAAACTCGTTTAGCACATGCTCAATGCAAGATCCGACGGCATCAGAAATCACACCCAGATCATGTTTAGTGTGATGCTCGAACACCTTCATGTGCACTGTAGCATATGGGTTTTCCTCATTTTCTTCGACAGAAAGTCCTAGGCGATAGGGTTTTGCGAAGCAGTTAAGAAAGCCTTTATTCTTCCTCCTCGAGTAAAGAACAAGGCATGTGTGGCATGGCAATCATTGTTCCTCTGAATGATGGAACGTCTTACGTGCGATTTCGAGTGGGAGTTCATACAGAGAACTTGTGTTTAATGTATGTTTAGTGCATTTATTTCCAAAGTCAGCATCGCTAATTATGTGATGGGAAAGGAGATAAACTACTGTTTGACAAGATAAAAGGATTGAACTTGATCAAATTCGGTCGTGTCCCGTGATAAGAACCGTTGTTTTGCTCTTTGGATAAGCATTGACATCTATTCAAGAAAAGTTAGATTGTAATGAACAATTGGCTTGAAATAGATTAGCAAGAAGGGTTAGGTGATCAGTCCGATGATTACTAAAACGACCTCTGCAGTGATTTGATTTTAAGGGTTTGGAGGAGTGCAGAGAATAGGTCATATGCAAGAATTATCAATTAGAGAGATACATTACATTTTCCTCAATATAAATCGTTCGATTGTAATTCGACTTTGATGTCTATTATTTATCATGTGAAACAGAAGACTCTTTTTTTCCTTTTTTTTTTTAAAAAGAAAACAGGAGAGTTTATACCTACAAAACTTCCAATTCGAGTCATCTTCTCTAGGAACATTAATATGTCAATGCCACGTGGTCACATAATATATTAAGATTAATAATTTGGGGGATCGGTTCTCAACTTATTGATTAATCCTCATGACGTGCATATGAGGCATTCCACCCTCGACATGAAAAGGGCAAAGCACGTAAATTTAAACTACATGTTGACATGATAATCAAAGATAAAAGGACGATATATATGAGGCATTCAACCCTCGACATGAAAAGGGCAAAGCACGTAAATTTAAACTACATGTTGACATGATAATTGCTAGTTTTTCTTCAAAATTCATAGAACAATCTATGGAAATCCAATCACAATTCGGCCTCTTTAGCAACGACGACTCAAGTCGGCTTGAAAGAATAATCAACCGACCATCGATATCTGCTCTATATTCCCCCCACGTTCTCTTCGTATACTTTTCTTTGGGCCCTTTGTATTTTAACGTTTTAAAGTCCTAGTGGAGATGGACTCCAATTTCTTGCGCCAGCTATTATATGACTAAGTTTAGTACTCGGCAAGCCAATATGATTAGGATCTATAGTTCAGTAGATTCCGTTACTCAACCTTTTATTTTATGCTTTGTTCGGTAGCTCAGCGACCGAGTGGGAGTGTCTATTATTCGCACAAAGATGAACCCTAAAAGCATAGCCTTTAGGGCAGGTATTTAATTGAGAAACTTTGTTTCGACTCGTTAGAAAATCTCGAAGAGCAAGCTCGACCAATTTATATAATTCAATCGATGTGATATGCATCTACTAAATGAAGATGATGTACACACAATCTACTACAAACGATGGAACATTTCGGTCGATGGTTCCTCGAATCTAAACCCCAATCGGTAAGAATAAGATAATTATCCTTCACTCGACCTTTTTACTAGCCCGATAAATCCCATGAATCCCAATTCCAAGTTTTTATGTTTCTAACCAAATTGAATTTGTCAAATTGAGTCAAATGCTCAATTGGAAGGCGCCCTATCACATTTGAAAGAAGGTGGGGGCAGGATTCAGACCCAAACAGGCTGTCATAAGTGATAAAATATACCAGAAAAATCGAAAAAAGATGGATTGATGAGTTCGTAGCTTAGTACTGGTGCTCTGACCAAAATGGCAATGGCTTTCAATGGGAACTGCGGAGGAATGGGCGGTCTACCTGCGTGATTCCCGGGCATGTTCTCAGACAAGTACCTTTGAAAAAAGAGAATTCGAGATTGACAGTTGCTGAGAGGGGCTTTGTGCTTTATTAAATTCGATGGCCCACTGAATTGCGTTAAATCATCACCTTATTGGAAGATAAGTGCAATTTGCTTGACATCACAAAGTTTGATCCTCCACTAGAGTGAAATTTGAGGACCATACTCTTTTTGTAATAGTCAATATACATTGTATGTTAGGAGGAGTGTGGTCTATTCAATTGTGCATGGTCATTGTCATCCCAAGCTCGAGTCATAGAAGACTAAGCATATATCTACATAGTCAAACTAAAGAGCATCTTGGACTATTTTCGTCTGTTCTCTATCTAAACCCAACAGGATAGGATTTGACAAGGAAAGTCGCGTAAATGATTTTTGAAGTCGTGTCTTGAGTGGAAACAAAAAGGGGAAGAAAAAATTTGGACCCGACATCCCGTTCGGCACCTAAGGATGATTGTACTTATGTTGCGTTTGGTACCATGCAATGGGATTGTTGAATGAAGTTAAATGGAAAAATAGCGGGATGGAATGATGATTCCATAACTTTGTTTGGTAAATTGTGGGAATGAAATGAAATGGGGAGTCTTGTGTTTGGTGGTGAGAAGTAGTGTTCTAGGAATGGAATTGAATAAGGAATTTCCAGCGAATTCAATTTGCCTTGTACTTGCATTAATGGTATACTAATTGATATTTCTAGAATATAATTAAGGTTTAACAATTATTTCATATAAATAATATTACTCGCTAATTAAGATATCAATTATAAATTTTGGTTAATTAGTGTAATAATTGAAATTTATTAAGCATTACGTAGAGTTGTTAATTATCTAATATTAAATAATTGTAATGCTCTTTTAATTACAATTTGTTAGCTACACTTTATAAGTAACTATGAAAAATAACTGTTCTATTAAATTATGTAAGTACATTTAAAAATAAATTTGTAATATTATAATATAATTTCAAAATATATGTTATATTTTTTTATCTTAATAGTTTGGGGTGTGTCTGGATAAATGTTTAAATTTTGTCTTTTTCTTAACCTGAAACTTTCATAGTACACATATTTTGACAAGTAGATTTACAAATAGCTTTTTCATAATTTTGTCGAATTGGTATAAAGATTTTAGTATTTGGTGGGAAAGCAAAAGGTTGCTTTTTGATTTTTAAAAACTATAAACAAATAGGCCCTTAAAAATACTGATTAGTAACTAGTAATAGTTAGTACTTTTTGTTTTTATGATTTTCATTTATTAATTTTCTAGTTTAGAAAAGGAAAGGAATGTGAAACGAGCATTCCAAATATATGACAAGCTCTACCGTCCGCGGGGAGAGAGACAAAGAGATATTTACTATTATTGTGATTTATTAGCAATACTAATATTGACGGATGTTGACAACTCGCCGTGATGGCGATCCCCTGGCCGCCGGGCTCTCTCTCTCCCCTCGAACTTGATTTAATTTTCTCTTTTCAAAAATTTGAATCAGACAAGTTTATATGAGATTTTATATATTCTATCATATTATAATTTGTTTGATTAACGTCAAAATGTCAATGATTAAAGCCCAAACACGATTTAAAGTATATTTCGTAAGCATGAAAGTGGATCTACATGGAAAATAGCTAACAATCTCATATCATCGCGACCCTTCCATGACCTCCACAAACACCTCCTTCGTCACCGTTGTCACCACTTCCCACCGCCACCCTCAACCTTATCACCACCACCCGATGCACAGCCATCGTCGCCATGCACCTTCCATTCCCTCGACACTACCATCACGACCTCGTGACCTTTATCAATTCACACCGTGTTACGATTCAACTTATAAAAAGAGAAAAGATCATCAATCATGTCAAAACGGGTAAAGAATTCCGTGGGCAAAAAAGTGATTTGATCATGTCTTCTTATGGTCGTGACAGCTTGCGTTTCCTAGGTTAAACCATTTCAAAATAGTATCATATGATGCTGGCTGCGAACCTTGTATACTTTATTTCCTATTAATCTAAGCTAAATTTCCTCTCTATTATCTTGGAATCAATTCCATCGCCGGCCCTCCAACCACCATCCTCCTACCATAAACAAGAGTATCACGACTCGAGGAGGAGAGCATAAAATCCATCGGCGTATCTATGAACTCGTCCGTTGTGTCTAGGAAGCACGAAGGACGACCAAAAAGACTTTCTCGATTCAATTGTTTAATTTCATAGTTTTTTTTATGCCTATGATGCCACCCCGCGATGCTAATTTAATCGATATGTTTAGACTTATTCTAGATAACGGACACGTTTCTAGAATCACAAATAATTGCACTAGGAATAGCCGGCGGAGAAGTCCAAACAAACGGTCAGCAACGGCCTTAGATCGGGGGATATGCATATGACCCTAGAACGATTGCCTTTGTTGGGATCGAACGCTTGTGACTTAGTTTCTGATGCAGCAAGTAGGGGAAAGAATAAGCTGGCGGGCGCCTCATAGGCAGCGGCTTGGTTGAGGGAACGCTTGGCTATTTGGTGAGGTGCAATTTAGTTTCAAATCTTCACTTATTTGGGTATGCTCTTAAGGTTGAAATTTTTCAATTACATTAAAATGTTTCATATGAGCTTGAAAATCCCGTCTTCGAATATTTCCTAAGTGAGCTAAACCGAATGATTGATCTCCAGTAACAGGCCACTGTATATATAACATTATTCAACTACACGTGCCACTTCTGCTACCGTTAATATGGATAGTACATAGTAATGAAGAGTTTATAAAATAAGTCGATAAAAGGGACCATCATGAAAATAGGGAAGAGCACACGACTTAGATATCATTAAATAAAAGCCTAGCGGGAGAAAATTTCCACCCACAATGTCAATATGAAGATATATCTCTATCTCGTAGTTTTTTGTTTAAACTAATCTTTTTACCGTAGTGAATTCGTTATAATTAAGCAATGGTTCCACACCTAAACATCAAACGTCTTTGTCGCCCTATTGTATGGTAGACAGCCATGCAGGTACGTCGTCTCTCGCTCGCTATCTCTTCACTGTTCACTGATCTGATCCTCGTGAGGATGGATGAAACGCCATTGCAGCGAACATCATATTCAGTCTGAAAGCGACCGCAAAATGTATTCAAGCGTGGTTTTGATTAGTACTAACTTTGGACCGGCGAAATCAATTGCCACTGAGGAAAAAATGGGGATTAGCACATGGAGTGTTGCTAATCATCCAACCTCTCCTTTTCTTAGCACTCTGGGAACCAGCATCCTAAACAGAGAGAACAGCAAGTGGCTACCTTTCTTCTTGTAATTAGACGTCGACTGATTTGATTTGTGGGTGGAATTACTCCACATAAATCGTCGATTATAAAGTGAAAGAAATCAGCTATGGATTTTATAATTTGAGCTCATATTTTATTGATAATTTGCGTTTGAACCATGAATAGCTACTAGATGTGTGAGTGTGTGTATATATATATATATATATATATATATATATATATATATATATATATATATATTTTTTTTTATGTATATATATTACGTTTCTCTTGTAATTGAGAGCGATGTAATAGAGATGTGTTTGATGCTAATTATAATAGAATCCTTTGCTAGATATAGCCCTAGTTTAATGGTGAATCAGGATAAAATCTCCTGTCTCGATTTCTCTTTCACGACTTTAATCTCTATTTCATTGTGTTTGTGCCCCTAATCCTAACAATGTACACTAATCTGACTATATCAGGTGATTTTGATTTTCCGAAAGGGGTATGAATAAGAACTTAAGAAGGCTATCCAGAAATCATCTATATTTCCTGAGGGCATACTCACTATTAATTGTATATAAAGCTGGGCAATTATCAAAGTGCAATCCACACAACATCAATACGCTTAGATGTAATAGTTCCATAATAGACATTAAGAAGCACAGTTCTAAAAATTCTATTTTAAATAGCACGTGTACAATTTTGATGTATAAATTCTTATCTACTGTGTAATTAATTAAGACAACGAATTAAATTTATTCATGTAATATGTGACTGTACTATATATATATATATCATTTCTCGCATTTATAGTCTGATTGCGAAAATAATATATCAAACTAAGCATTAAATAATATAATTAGTAATTAAGATGACAATTATATTATGAAGGAATTTGATACATAATTTTGTATTATCTAGGTAAGAAAATAGTTCTTACATCAATTGTTTACTTACTAATTATTTTAATTATTAATCATCTGATACGCCATCATGTCAAAATAATAATAATAATTAATGTCATCATTATATGTAATATATGAGTTTATTTATAACTAATATAGACTATAATTATAACTAATAATCTAGCATTGGTAGAGTGAGCGAAGGAAATAGCGGAGGAGTTTATAGAATGACTATTACAGTTTTGATTGTGTTAAGGCTTACACTATTATTCCAAACAAATATTGTAATAGGCAAACGACTTGACTTATAATGTGATAGCCAATATTGCAGGGAAAGTACCAAAAACATCCTAAAGCTATTGCAGCGGTGCTAATTAGTCATAAATCTTTCAATTTGGTCAATTTAGTCCTAAACATTTTCACATTTTGTTAATTGAGTCCATTCGGCCAATTTTAGCCGGAATTAGTCGGCGTGGTTGCCAATCATCCTATATAGTACAGCTAGCGCTGACGTGGACGTTTTTAATAATATTTTGACCTTTTATATTTTTATTATTATTTTATTGTTTTTTGTTTTTCTTTCTTTTTTTTTCCTTTCATTTGGCCAAGTGACCCTCCCCAGCCGCTAGCGAGGGTCACGGCCCTCGTTGGGTATGGGCAAGGGCCTTTGCGACCTCGCTCGTGACCAACGAGGCCACGATGGCCTTGGGCAAGGCCAACGTGACCCTACCGGCCATGGGCGAGGTGGCCCTCACCCAGATGTGGCGAGGGTCATCGATGACCCTTACCAACCAAAATATTATTAAAATTGTCCACGTTAGCGTCGGCCGTGCTATGTAAGACGACTAGTGTTCACATCGATGATTTCCAGTCAAAATTGGTCAAATGGACTTAATAGGCATAATGTGAAAAAGTTTGACTAAATTGGACCAATTGAAAGATTTATGACTGAATTGGCACCAATGCAGTAGGTTTAAGACTTTTTTGGTACTTTCTCCCAACACTGCAAGATGTGTTCTCACATCATAAGGACGACTACTGGCGACAGCCCAATTCAAACTTGAGATCATTGGATAGCATAAAGCACGGCCACGGCAATCCAAAACCTCCATCAAAACTACGCCAACCACCTCAATGGCAGCGCTTTGCATGTCTTTTTTTTGCTAGAAGAAATGATATTCTCTTCCTCAATAAATAATACAAAAAGAATCCTTGGTATAGCTTAGTGCAATGCAAGTAATGCAAGCGCCAGCAATTTAGGGCAAAAGGATAGAGAATGACATGATTGTCATTGGTAATCCGGTTTTTAAGCTCACGCAAATATAGTCTCCTAAGACCACAATCAAATGTCGAAAATGTCCGTGAATGATAATGCGATGTTTAAGTTCTCTCGTGACAGATCTAATGGTCATTGACAAGATTTTCTCTTTGTCCGCAATTGTCCCCCTTTATTATTTTTTACTTTTTTCGCACTCTCTTCTCTTTTTGTCATTATTGAAATCTGAAAACAGGCCACTGGCCATGGAACTGGAAACTTCGATCAACATGAGTGTAGCTTGAAAAGAAAGACTTCGCATGATTGCTTTCTTGTCGACTCTCTCAGTTGGGCCTAAACCATGTAGCCTTGTTGTTGACTTTTTGGTGATGTCGCTGTGTTTGGTCACTGGCCTTCTCTTAAACATCTATACCTTGATCATGTAGTAATTGAAGCTTAATTAAGATAATTACGTTACTTGTCTTGGATGGCATGATTGATTGGGACCTAACGCTGGCGAAAATTTAACCATTTTGCATGTGCTTTCGTGGGTCCTAAGTAAGAGGTGAGGTTCTAGCTCTGATCAGTTAATACGACATGGAAAAACTAATAAAGTTCAAGACTACCTCAATTTGCAATATATAGTTGCAAACATGCTGCAATATAAGCAGCACTAGAAGAACTAACCAGCCAAAGCCTTGTAATCAACTATACTTGAAACTATATGCATGCGAAATATAGCAAATTTTGCTGTAACGAGGCCTTGGGTATTAATACTTATTGTCGAAAACAAAACTAGGTATACCAAGGAACAACTATAGCTTTATCCTGGATTTGCATTTAGAGTCCACAGTTTGAGACTGAATGTGAAATAAGATGTAGCAGGTGCTATAAGCAGTGGCGTGGAAATTAAAGATCTTAGCCATACTGACTTTCCCATGCAAAGTCGCCGTAGAAGTGAAGTTCAAGCAGCCTGAGGCGACGTCTTCCCATAAACTCGGATTTAATACCAATTTATCAGCGATCAGATCCGTTGAAGTGGTTATGTTGACTTTTGCCCGAGCAGGAATCTTGTTGTGCTCGATGGGGACTTCAGCCACCGTCGACCCGTGGTAGTTCACATATCCGGTCGTGCTCTTGTACTCGAAGCCGCCGTAGTTAGGGTTGTCAATTGTCACGAGCATGCTTAATGTGACGTCTAGCGTGACGTTGGTAGTGGTGACGTTGAACCGGATGTTCTTGAGGCCGATGGGGTGGGCTGTAATCTGAGGCTGTTTGGGCTTGAAGATCGTGAGCGATAAGGTCACGATGATGATGGTGAGAATCGCCAAGAAAACCGCCGAGGTGAAGCAGCATATTTTGAGACCTCGGCGAGCCATTTCAGTTGGTTACTAATCAATGAACAATGCAGGACAGATGCGGACATCAGTTAGTGTTCATATACAAAAGTGAAGTAAACTGGAAGAAGGGTCATGTTGTTTCTTATTAAATCTCATTTTGTTTTACTTTGGTGTATGAATGGTTGAATGCTACTGTGATTCGAGGATAAAGCTGTGAACATCAGCGTGCAAAATCAAATGGATGATGATGATGTATACGCAGGATGCTGTAAGTGGATTCTAATGGGGAGATGAAGAACATAATGGACAAAAGTACGGCTTAGCTTGATCTTAGAACGTGCTTAGTAGTTCATCACGTTACGGAGGTTTGTATTTGACAAGGGTTTTGTTAATATGCCAGAAAGAGACTCGAATCGGACAGCGAGTCCTTAATATACTAAATGTATCATAATTTTCATAGAATCATCAATGGAAAGAAAATTATTAACTATAATAATAACAAGTTGCATATGCAACCTAACAAAAGATATTGTTCGTTCAACTACTTGGCTTCCCTAAAGAAAAGTTACTCTCTCGAAAAAAATATTTTACTTGAATCAGACAATAAGAGTCATTATTCACTAAAAACACATAAATATCAAGGAATAAGTTTAAATGTTTAGTGCGAGAAGATCCACATGAACTTGTTAACATGATTAATTGATGTTGTCCATTCGCAGTTTCATCATCAATAGATACATTTAAGCAATTTGGGTCCTCTTTAATATTATCTTCCATAGTGACCACACTACAAAAAACAATACAATGAAAGATGACTAAATTGTGTATAATGCATTCATCAAACACAATATTCAATCTTTTAGTAAATTCTTTAAATTTGTACCGAAATTCAAAGTTGAAAAATTCACGATCATGAGAATAATTTAGGGAAATAAAGTTAATAATTGGTAGAATAAGTTATGAAGGAGACAAACAAGAAAGAAACGTTGAAATGTAATGGGTGTGGAAGATACGGTTAGAGTGAAAAAAAAAAGTTGTTTGAAAGAGATGTGGGTGGTTTTGTCTTTTAACAAAATGGAAGCAAAAGAAAAGGAAGAAAAAAAGTAAGAAATAATCTTTCGGGTTTTACTAGTATAATAGTCTTTAGGTTACTGTGAGAGTAACACTGTGTTATGAGCCACAAATTGTTGTAGGAGCAGATTCTACGACAATTTATAATTATTTGTTATTTTTTTTATGTGGACCAGAATAGGCTATTAATCTTACAGTTGATTAAGGACAGTCACTTAATTATTTCTCTAATCTTAAATCGAGAGTCAGAATCGTAAGGGATAATGTAGTCGATTCAATGTGATAAGATAGTGTTAGAAGCCAATAAGGGGGTGAAAATAGTATGAGCCTAAAAGAAATAAGTCATGTTCAATACTAAATAAGAATATGCCATGTTAATCAATATAGTGAGTAACTTCATCGCCTATAATAGTGTCCGTATGTCCTAACAATGACATCGCAGCGGATATTTGCTAGATATGGTGATTAATTAGGGTCATTTGTGGTGGAGGAATCACCTTCCCTCCTAGATGAATGTAGGAACTAAATTAACCTAGCTAAGTATCAATAGCAATAGTTACATAATGCGAATGATGAGTGATAATAAGGATTTAGAGGGAACGCACACTGAAATTTAAGTGAAAAAGTCCTTCTAACGAAAAGGGGTGTTGTGAAATTAACTCGAAAGAAAATGGATCTTACAATTCAAGTCTAACTTGAGAAGAAGAAAGTACAAGAAAAATCAGTAAGGAACGATAAGAAACATGAGAGATTTGCATGATTTCATTCGAGTGCTCGTACCTACTTCACGAGGAGAGCTAGTAGCCAAGATGTCCACTATGAATTGTGAGAATACAGAGTTTACAAGTGTTTCCTAGCCCTAAATTACATCCAAAGCAAAACCCAAGTGCTATCTCACAATCCAACCCTAACACTCCTCTCGTTTACTCTAATAACCAAGTAAAATTCCATCTCTCTCTCTAAAAATATAATTGTAGCCAAAATAGGAAATCATTTTTAGAAAATCTACTCAAATTAAGAAATTTATTTGGATTGGATTTTCCTTTCCGAGTTCAAACCTGAGAGATATTCTTAGGAAAGAAATCATGAGCAATCCAAAGTACAAATACATCCAACAATACCAAGAACGGTGCAACAATTTACCACACAATTAATTAGCATGTGTACAATTTTAATGTATAAATTCTTATCTATTATTTAATTAATTAAATACTAAGATTTAAATTTATTCATATAATATGTTGTATTATAGATACCATTTCTCACATTTATAGTCTGATTGCAATAGTAATATAACAATTTAAGCATTAACTAATATAATTAGTAATTAAGATGACAATTACATTCACTACAAAAAAACTGGATTTTTGCCACGAAAATTTGCGACGAAAAAATTTTCGTTGCAAATTTGCGACAAATTTTCCAACGAAAAATTTTTCGTCGCAAAGTTTGTTGGAAATTTCCAACGAAAAAAAATTCGTTGGAAATTTTCAACAAATTTTGCGACGAATTCAAAAAAACCCGGTATTGTTCGGCATTTTTTATATTCGTTGGAAAATTCGTCGGAAATTTCCAACGAATTTCCATTTTCCGGGCCATTATTTCAGTGTTTACAATTTTCGTTGGAAATTTCCAACGAATTTTTTTTCGTTGGAAATTTCCAACGAATTTTCCAACGAATTACAAAAAAACCAGTTACTGTTCGGCATTTTTGATATTCGTTGGAAAATTCGTTGGAAATTTCCAACGAATTCCAAAAAAAACCCGGTACTATTCGGTATTTTTTATATTCGTTGGAAAATTCGTTGAAAATTTCCAACGAATTTTCCAACGAATTTCAATTTTCCGGGCAATTACTTCAGTGTGTATAATTTTCGTTGGAAAATTCGTTGGAAATTTCTAACGAATTTTCCAACGAATTTCAATTTTCCGGACAATTATTTTAGTGTGTACAATTTTCGTTGCAAAATTCGTGGGAAATTTCCCACGAATTTTGCAACGAAAACCCTACTTGTTCCTTATTTTCGCGCTCGTTATTCCCACAACTTTCAATTTCCACATTCACTCTCTCTCTCTCTCTCTCCTTCGCCTTCACCTTCTCCCTCCGTCTCCCCCTCCGCCTCCCCCGCCGTCCCCCCCCTCCTCCGGCTCCGGCGCCATGGACACCAAGCCTCCGACGCCCCCGACGGCCCCGACGCCCCTGACGCCACCAAGCCTCGTCGCCGGCGAGGGCCGAGCTCGCCCGGATTTGGGCGAGCTCGAGCTCGCTGGCCATGGCGAGCTCGGCCCTCGCCATGGCCGGCGAGGCTAGGAGACGACGACGGACTTGACGGGCGGCGGCCCCGAACACCTGCTCCCGCCCCGCTTCATCTTCGGGCTTCTTCTTCATCTTCGGCCATGGCGAGGGCCGAGCTCGCCATGGCCGGCGAGCTCGAGCTCGCCCAGATCTGGGCGAGCTCGGCCCTCGCCGACGACGAGGCTTGCCTTCGCCGGCGACGAGGCGGGCCCTCGCCGGCGACGAGGCTGGCCCTCGCCGGTGGCGAGGGCTATTTTTCGATCAAAAAAAAATTTTTTGACCAAAAAAAAATTCTTTTTCGATGGAAAAAAAATTTCCACGATTTTTAACTCGACCAAAAAAAATTTGTAATTTCCAACGAAAAAAATTCGTCGGAAAAAAAAATTCGTTTCCAACGAATTTAGTCACGAGTTTTCCAACGAATTTTCCAACGAAAAAAAATTTATCGCAAATTTCCAACGAAAATTGAAATTTTTCGTTGGAAAAATTTTCGACGACTTATTACCAACGAATTTTTTTTCGTTGGAAAATTCGTTGGAAATTCGTTTTCCAACGAATTTTTCCAAATTTTTCGTTGGAAATTTCGTCAGAAAAAACAAGTTTTTTTGTAGTGATTATGAATGATTTTGAATGTGATAGATAATTATGTATTATCAAGGTAATATAATCGTTCTTCCGTCAATGGTTTACAAAATAATTATTTTATTTATTAGTCATATGAGAAGCCATCATGTCAAAATAATAACAATCGGTGTCATCATTAGATGAAGTGCGTAAGTTTGGTTATAACTAACATAGACTATAATTATAACTAATAATTAACATTGGCGGAGTGAATGAATGAAATAGAGGAGGTATTTTGGGGATAGGGGATAATTATCAAAAAAGTCCTAAACTTATTGAACGGAGGCCAATTCAATCCTAAAACTTTCAATTGTACCAATTTAGTCCTGAAGATGATTTGCCAATTTAGTCCTAAATTTTTCAATTGTGTCAATTTATTCCTAAACCTTTTGAAAATTTGCCAATTTAGTCATAAACCTATTATTTAGATGTTTGGCTGGAATGACTATATTGGCAAATTGTCAAAAGATTTAGGACTAAATTGGCATAATTAAAAGGTTTAAGAATGAATTGACCTCCGTACAATTGATTTAGGACTTTTTGGACAATTTTCTCTCAGAGATAACTATTAAAGTTTTGGTTGTAAGATGGATTACACTATTATTCCAAACAAATACTATAATAGGCAATCAACTTGACTTATAATGTGATAGACGATACTGTAAGTAGGTGTGTTTTTAGATTACAGGGACGACTACTATCAATAGCCCAATACGAAGTTGAGATCGTTGGATAGCATAATGCAATGCCACGGTAATCCCTAAACCTCAATCACGACTACGCCAACCACCTGAATGGTAGAACTTCACCATGTCGTTTTTCAAAAGAAATGATGTTTTCTTCCTTAAAAAATATTACAACATTTTCTTGGTATAGCTCAGTGCGATGCAAGTAATGCAACCGCCAGAGATTTAGGGCAAAAAGATAGAGAACGACATGATTGGTCATCTAGTCTTTAAGCTCACGTAAATATAGTCTCTAAGACCTCATTGTGTGCTGCGAAAACGTCACCCTAAGTTCACCATAGTTAGAATTCTAGAACACAATA